GATAAAAGCCAAAGTAGCAAAAGGGTAGTTACGTGTCAAAATGGTTGTTAAAAATTAAAATGACAACTAAACACTAACAATAAGAGAATACCTGCTATAAATGTGGTCAAAGGCTAGATAAACACTAAAAGTAAAAAGGCTACCTAACTAGTGAAATCAGTAAAGGCTAGCTAAAATGTAAAAGTAGCAAAACACTAGCTAAAGCAGCACAATCTTAGATAAAAGCTAAAGTAGCAAAAGGAAAGTTGTGTCAAAATGGTTGCTAAAAGTTAAAAATGACAACTAAAAGCTAAAAAATAATAAAATAACTGTTTTAAACTAAATGGCCAAAGGCTAGTTAAATGTTAAAAGTAGCAAAAAGTGTCTAAAAGCTAAAAGTAGTACAAGGCTAGCGACAAGTTAAAAGTATCATTAGGCTAACTAAATTGTAAAATAATAAAGTGCTAGCTAATAGCTAAAAGTGGCAGAATGGTAACTAAAAGCTAAAAGTAAAATAAGACAAAAACAGAGTTTTTAGTTAACATTTTGATCAAATGATTGTTAAAACAACATGCAGGACAAGTTAGATTGCAAAAAACATGCAAAAAAAAAATGAAAAGGACAGCGTGACTGATAAATCAGCATTAACCAAATGAAGACACTTTGTCCAACTTGTCCTCGCAGCTTCAGTCTGCGCTGCAGCAGAAAGTTTGAGACTTTATTTCTGTTTCCACCTGGCAGTAGGAGGTTTATCATCTGAAGCATGTGGCGTTTGGAAAAAAGGGACACGCTGCCAACGATTTCGTCTCAACACGTCCATGAGTGTGCAATGAGAGCGTGTGTATCCCATGGCTGCTTGGCAGCACCGGACGAGGTTAAATCAGGACAGACTTGTTCTGGATGACCTCCCAGCTACCAACACACAGCTCAGGTTAGCAGTCAAACATTTCTGGATGGACACACACACACACACACACACACACTATAACTCTATAAAACAAAACATAAGTGCATAAATACATAATCTGTTTGGTCATTATTTTGTTAATGTTTCTTTAATATAGAAGGTAAACCAGTCAAGTGGCTGTAAAAATCTCCATTTCCCATTAAAACAACTGGATTTTGTTCTGTAAAAAAACAAACCAGGATATATTATTACCAAACTTTTTCCACTTTTATTGTAACAAATATAAAATAGATAAACTTGTAGGTCGCCCTGCTCTTCCACTTGGGTGGTTTCACTGCTCTTCAAGCTCGGGCCCTCTACCAGAGGTCTGGGAGTTTGCGGGTCCTGTTCAGTATCTTAGCTGTTCCCAGGACTGCGTTCTTCTGGACAGAGATCTCTGAGGTTGTTCCTGGGATCTGTTGGAGACACTCATCCAGTTTGGGAGTCGCGGCACCGAGCGCTCCAATGACCACTGGAAATACTGACGACGTTCCACAACTTCTGGATTTCCTCTTTCAACTCTCGGTGTTTCTCCAGCTTCTCGTGCTCCTTCTTCCTCATGTCACTTGGGATTGCTACATCTATCACCACTTCCTTCTTCTCTTGCTTGTTGACCACCACAGTGTCCGGTTGGTTAGCTATCACCTGTTTGTTGGTCTGGATCTGCAAGTCCCACAGAATCTTTGCTCGTCTATTCTCCACCGCCCTTGGTGTCGTCTCCCACTTTGACTGTAGGACCTCTAGTCCTAACTCAACACAGAAGTTCTTGTATATTATTCCAGCCTCTTGGTTAAGGTGTTCCATGTGGACTTCACCTGCCTGGATCTTACAGCCTGATGTGTTGGACTGTCTCAGGTAGATCTTTGCACAGCCTGCACCTTGAGTCTTGTCTGGTATGGTGGACCCCAGCCTTTAATGCTCTTGTGCTGCCATGATTAGTGTCTCTGTGCTGTCCATCAGTCCAGCCCTCTCCAGTCCCTGGTAGGATTTGTTGATATCAGCCACGTAATCTGCCGGTGGTACTTTCCGTGCAGGGGCTTTTCTTTCCACGATGGCTTGTGTTGTTCCTCTTCTTCCACAATGAGTTTCTGCTGCCGCCTGAGACATTCACTCATCAGTTCATCATCAGGGTGTATGCCAGGATCTTGGTTGTTTCATTCTGTACAGTGGCTCAGATGCTCATCAGTCCTCAGTCTCGGGGTGTTGGACTTAGGTGAAACCCTCCATGCACTGTGAGGAGCTTTCAAGTCGACGTCAGTGGGTTCTATCTCCTCCATTGGCCAGATCCAGGTATCTGATGACTGGCAGGACAGAGGAACACATGGGGTCAAGAATCATCTGCACCTAGTGTATAGCTTCTCTGATTACTTTTCTAAAGAATGAGGATAATAATAAAAATACTCAGTAAATAAATAAATGGAATTAGTTGCTTTAATCTGTAATGACACTTGTGTCCAACAGGTGGCAGCATCACTTAAACCTTGGAGACAGGAAGCAGGTCTTCTTGCAGCCCACAGGAAAACACAAAGTAAAAGTAAAATCTGTGTCAAAGTTGGAACAAAGCCCAGCTCATTGTTGTGTTAACATTCAAACATGCCTGTTAGGCTGATCTTAATGGGATTTGCCTAAAGGAGCTGCTTCATTTTTTTATTAAACAGCTTCCATTTTTATTATATTGTTTGTTTGATAATCTGTAAATTACAGTTTCTCTGGAGTAGTGGACACCTTCAAACTGAACCCCTGGCCTGTTTTTCTGCTTGGACGTGATGATTCCTGCAGATGCACCGGTGAACCTGCCAACTTCCTGAGAAAGCCTTCGTCTGTCTTTAGTTGGTCCACGTGCTGCCAAACACGTTGGGTTTCAGCTTTCTGTTCTGGAAAATTATCTAAAACACAAAAACCAACACAACCTCAGCACATTTTCTGGAAACGCAAGCAAAGCCAGAAATAAAAAAAACTGAAGTGAATTTTGTGCATGGACCGTTTACGGAGGCGTCTGTCAAACAAGACAGCAGCTGTTAGTACAAAAGCAGGCACACGTCTCTCATTCATTTATGGAAATCAGATGAGGACCGTGACGCTGCAGAAATCCCCAGACACACACACTTCATGCTTTGTCTCCTGAGGGGGTTCACCCCTCTTTGACCCCCAGCCCCCCTCAACATCTCGTCAGAACTGAGGGTGTGTCTCCATCTCTCTTGAGAAAACGTATGCCATCCGTCACCTCTTCTTTATTCAGCCCCCATCTCCTTCTTTGAAACAGAAAGATCAAGCAGCAGAAATGAAGTTTGGAGTCATTACCATCAACCAAATGCCACCCAGAACCTCCTCCTTTAACTACGGTGGCCCTAAGGTGTAAATGAACATTTGAACAAACAGAATTACATTTTTTTTTAACCCTTGTGTTATGTTAAGGGTCAATTTGACCCGTTTCAATTTTTGTGTTGATCAAAGTGCAGGTTATCCTTTCTTTTTTTCCATGAAATGTTGTGACTTTTTCTCCTCTAGGGTCATGAACTTCTATGTAAAATCTGGACTCTTTGATGTGTTGTTAAATGTCTGCACACAGTTTGTATACAAAGATGATGTTGCGGGTCATTTTGACCCGCACACAGAGTAGCTGTTAAAAATCCAAAAAAAAAGTCTTTGATGTACTTCATTTTGATTGCCTCTGAATAAACATTCAGAACCAGGTGTGTGTGGAAGAGGGACTTTCTCTCCCCTGTCCTTGTCACTGTTTCCATGCCCGTTCTTGGAGAAACACCAAAAATGAGCTCCAGACGATTTACAGCTGAAGAAGCTTTTTCGCAGCTTATGAACTGGGATAGTGATGTAGAGGAAGAGGTTTCAGAGACAGAGGATCCTTCAGAGCCAGAGGACAATGCCATTGATGATCCAGATTTTCAATTTTCCCATGATGAGGAGGATTCAGAGGACGAGTCTGCAGGTGTCCCTTCTTCAGATGAAAACCAAGAAATGCAACAATCGTCATCCACAGAGGGGACATGGACATCTAAAGATGGTAAAATAAAATGGTCAACATCACCACACCAAAGCCAAGGTAGATTGTCATCTTGTAATGTCATCAAAATGATTCCTGGTCCTACAAGATTTGCTGTCACAAGAGTTGATGATATTGAATCAGCATTTCAGCTCTTCATATCCCCACCCATAGAGAAGATAATCCTCAACATGACCAACTTGGAGGGGAAGCGTGTCTTTCAAGAGAAATGGAAGCCACTGGATCCGACTGACTTGCATGCTTACATTGGAATCCTGGTGTTAGCTGGCGTATACAGGTCAAAGGGTGAAGCAACTGCAAGTTTATGGAATGAAGAGAATGGAAGGCCAATCTTCCGAGCAACAATGTCTTTGGAGACATT